CCCTTATACCCTTATACCCTTGGTATTTGGGGTCACTCACATTTTTCTCCATAATTTACGTGGTCTTGCTCGTTGGACTCCGTGAAGACATTTTCAAGTTACTTATTTGATGCTGGCGGAATCAGTCATCTGGATTGTAAATGGCTACTGATCAACTCCCTTAGCATAACTTGACAAAATCCTAAGGACTGTAATCTGTAATGGACAAGTATCCTATCGTGGATGGGGAGGGGGAAGTGTAGCAATACTCTCTTAGCTTTATGCTAGGTTGTGTGGGTCATACAAACTTTACCCTAATACTGAGTAATTATAAATAACCGGTGATGTTTCTTTTAGCTATGAGCTGCGAGTGGTTATCTGGAACACTGAAGATGTTCTCCTCGAGGAATCAAATATCCTGACCGGAGAGAAGTGCAGTGATATTTTTGTCAAAGGGTGAGTATTTTGTATATCCTTTTTCGTACATTTTAGGTCTCGAAGACGTGTTTGTTGATGGCATTACTGTTTGCTATTTATATGAGCTACAGTTGTGGGCAAAAGTCCTTGGGACATTTATGTAATGTAACGAATTATCTGTGTTTTAGTACTGAAGTTTGAAAAAAACGCTGCTATATCCTTTAAAAACGCGTTGCTGTCCCCCTTCCCCACCCAACACAATGTTCAAAATCAGGTGAAATTGCAGGTAGTAGTTTTCAACATTGTATGGGGGGTGGGGGGCGAAGTTAGGCAGGTGAAGTTTATTCGCTTCTGGCGTTAGCGCAAAAGTGCAAATTTGTCCCAAGACTTTTGTCTATGATTGTAGACAGGGAGTTACGTAAAGTTTAACAGTAACGTTTGATATTGTGGTAACTTCTGTTTTCTCTGTTTTAGCTGGCTGGAGGGAATGAAAGAGGACAGGCAACAGACCGATGTGCATTACAGGTACACTTCCAAAGTTTAACATGTGAATTCTCTTTACTAACTACCACCCATTTCATGTAATGTTGGTTCTACGAATTGGGTCCTTCATAAAGACAAACTCTCCTTACTAATGTTGTATTTTATCCCTAACCTGTCAGGTCGCTTACTGGAGAGGGAAACTTCAACTGGAGATTCATCTTCCCATTCCAATACCAGAAGGCCGAAGAAAGAATTGTCATCACTCGGAAGGTGCGCTCATTGGTGTAACATCGATGTTGCCTGGCTCTTTTTCTTGAATGAACGTTTTCCTTTATCCTAAGTATTTTAAAACGGTTCTGAAGATTGTAATCCCATCCAGCTCTCAGACTTCGCAGACTGATACTGTAGCCTTTGTTGTTTGGTACTAATTCGCCTTCAATTCACGTAAGAAATCTTGCAATGAAATACTAAACATGTGGAAAAACACGAAAGAAAGAAAGGGTTGGAAACAAAGAAAAAAGAAGATGAATTTTCAAAACTAGATGCGATTGAAACGGATTCCGTTGGGTTAAACTTCATTTCTGAGAATATGTCAGATTGATCACTCTTGGTAGTACAAAAAAAATGCGTTTCGATCATTAGATGTTATTGGCGGTCAGTTGCTTTTGTGGTGCTGTTTTACGTATATTTCCACTGTGCCGCGCGTTGATAATCGAGTCCCTACACGTGTTGTTCAACGTTGCTTGTAAGCGTAACATTTAGCACTTATGTTTTGTCGTGTTACAGGCAAGTTTCTTCTCATGGGACGAGTCTGAAGAGAAAGTTCCTGCCAGACTGCACCTGCAGGTCTGGGATGCTGACGCATTCTCCGCTGACGACTTCATTGGTGAGATAACGTTTTAGAAATAAATTTTGTTTGTGACACTTTTACTACAACAACAACGGAAATTTGGATAATGAAAAGAGACTCATTTAAAAGAATAGTATACTGTCTTAGCAGTGGTTTAGAATTATTGTCCGCTCTTGTTTCAATTAAATTCGATTGTTAAGACCACGACAGTGCTAGAGTTTGGGCAAAGTGTTTCTAGTCACCCACTCTGCAGGTCCCAGTTGTCTGTTTTTGAGAATTCCAAGTGATTTCAAGCATGTCCGTCATCATGACAACTCATCTAACTGTTACCTTATGTTTATCAGGTGATCTGACGCTTGATCTAACGCGCATGCCCCGTGGTGCGAAGTCCGCTAAGACTTGTACTCTGGACTTGATGAAGCAGGACGGCAGTGTGCCCCAGATCTCTTTCTTCAAGATCAAACACATCAAGGGATTCTGGCCGTTTGTAGTCAACACTGACGAAGAAGTTCCTGAACTGGCTGTAAGTTGGTCATTTTTGTCGAGCACATATCAATACCTGGTTATTAAAAGAGTTTCTTTCATAACCTTGCTTTGCCTTTCCTGCTGTGTTGCAATTCTGAGYCCGTCGCTTTTCTAGAACGCTTAAAGAAATTTGGAAAGCAGAAAGGGGGTGTTTTTATAGCAACTGCGTGGAACAAAATGTTAGTTGAGGGGCAATGATTTGTAAAGCGAGAGAGAAATAGCTGGTAACATCTCGGACATGTTAAACGAGTATGGCTTTAGATTGTATCGATTTGAAACTGATGTGAAGTCGTAATACCCTGAAATTTCATGTGGAATAAAGTAATTCCTTGAAATCACCCCGTAATAGCTAATCTTATTGGTAACTGATTTACGTGTTATTTTTCTCTTCATTATGACCCTGTTACTCGTCGTGGAGATTGCAATGTCGTGAAACATTCCCTTTTTTGTTGCGATCCTAACACAGGGCAAAGTGGAAGCTGAACTTGAATTACTGACCCAAGAAGAGGCCGAGAAGAAGCCCGCTGGACGGGCGCGAGAGGATCCGCAGGCTCTGGAGAAACCTAAGTAAGATACTGTGTTCAATCTGGACAACACCTCATTCTTGATCTCTCATGTAACATTTAACATGGAAGTCAAAAACTGCCTGTTCTGTTTCTTACTTGTTCGAATTAACTTGTTCTTGTAGCCGTCCTGATTCAACGTTCACGTGGTTCATGAACCCGTTCAAGTCCCTGAAGTACCTGCTGTGGAATAACTACAAAATGTGCCTGATCAAGTTCCTGGTCATTGGACTCCTGGTGGCTCTTATGGGCCTGTTCTTCTACTCCATGCCTGTAAGAGCCCTTCTTAAATATGAGCATTGCAAAATAAGATCCCTTTGTTCCAGAGTGCACCAACATTGGTTGGTGATAATTGTCTCGGTTTTGCATCGTTATATCTGAGCGAATTCATTGAAAATGTCCTGAGAAGGAAAATGAAGAATGAAATTATTACAATCTGCGCACATACTAGCCTCCTGTCAAACCGATGTTATTGGAAAATGTAAATAACTTTCCGACAGTTGAGGACAAGTCACCAAAAGCCAAGGTGAAGATAAAAGCGCGCGAAAGGTAGAATGTACCAGCCAGTGTCTGGTTTTAGTTTCTTCTGATTGGCCTAGGGAAGTCAAGTGACTCTGTCCTGGTTAGCCAGCAAGGGACGCAACTTGGTCACCGTAAAACCCCACCAATGGAAAACTGCCTAATGCGTCACGCGGGCCCCGTTTGCCACGTTCCAAGAAGAAATGTTTGTGACCGACCTTTTTTCTCCTCTCCACCTCCCCCTAAAACCAACTACTATACACCTTTCCCACCCGTTAAGTCTTTCCAATTTTTAACCACAAGGTTTTCTCTCTCTTGTCTCCAGGGTTACACAGTGAAAAAGATCTTCGGAGCATAAACTGCAGCCCCTGTCAAAGAAATCAATCAGGACCCTCTGTGGGTCACTATTCATTAATTTATTCATAAAGCTTCTTGCTTAACTTATTAAGAGTTATTTAATAGGCCATTATAGTCGCTGTTAGATGATAGCCTGTCGTCATCATAGACGTGTTTATTTTGTTACAAAGTAAAATGTACATTTACAAGATTCAATCATTGGAAGTTATTTTTCTTAAATGAAATTCAGTTTTTTAAGTTTTATATTGTATTTGCTTTATTTCAAACTTTCTGTTACGCGCTTTAAATGCTTTCGAAAAAGACATATTTATTGTTCTTGTGATCATTTGTAATTTGATGGCAGTTGTTTTTTAAGTCGAAAACCTTGAAACGGGTTGTATGTGATAAAGTAATAGATAAACCCGGAACAAACATTTGAGGTTTGAACTGTTTTTTTCAACTATTTAACAGGATCTTGATTTATCATTTTCTCTAATCTTTTTTTTTTTTTGGAATTAAGGAGAAAAGTCGTAAATTCTAAGTTTGTTAAAAAACTCACTCTCTCAAGTGTGTCGAATGCTCAGCTTAAACTTCATGTAAAATGCATAATCAGTCAGTTGAGCATTCTTGTCTTCTATCAGCTGTGATTATAGGTTAACTGGATGCTAGCTTAGGACAAGTTAAGGACTTTTAGGGGCATGCTGGCCAAATAGGCACAGGCCTTTCTTAAGAATAGCTCGCAAAGTTAAGTTTCTTTGTCCGCTCTGAGTTTGAACGCAGGTCGTTGTGTTAAATTTAATTAGTTATAGTTTGTTTCTTTTAGGAATGTAGGAATTTAGAATCAAGCGGAAAATATCGATCGGAGATTAGAATAGAAGAGCTGTAACTATTTATATCTTTGCTTTTTATGTCTGTTATTTAGCCTGCGGAATTTATTTCTAGCTGCTAAATGCTTCTAATTTTCGTTGCAAACTGTTTTTTTGGAACGTCACGCAGTTTAATCCTTCGTTCTGAGAAAGATTGCGTGACGAGCCAAGAGGACATCTGCATCGGTACCCAGGAAGTCAATGAGCTCCTTATGGGAGAGAATTTTATTTAAGTGGCTCGCAGCCATTGGAGAGTGGAATTTGTACAGAATGACTTGGTGAGCCGTAAAACTGTGTTGTAAATATTATGAAGGTGACAAGAACCAGGTGATGCCAGAACGTACATAATATCGTAACGTAATAATAAGTAGGATATTTAACCGTGGTACAAATGTCGGGATACAGTTACTCTGGGTCAAGATATTTATCAGTAGTTCAGTGTGTAGTTATCGTACGTCAGGGTAACGGAATATCCAAAGTAATAAAGATGAACATCGAGAAGTGTCCTTGACTTTTGTGTATGAATGAGTTTGAAAATCGGCTTTTCTGTATTCTGTCCACTAACGTTTGTGTTTTTTTTGTTATGAGTTCATCAGTTCAAGTTCTTTGCGCGCGCGCGAGCGGCCACGAAGCGCGAGCCAAAAAAAATATTTTTGTCTTTCCCCAGCCTTTGCTCGTTCATATCCCACGTGCCGGGTTAATATTTTGCTGAACTCAAGAGAAAATAGAGGGTCTTTGGACAGACTAGCTTTCCTGCAGTATTCGTTGGTCAGTGGTGTTGCTAAGCAACATGACTTTCTGCAAAGATTCTGCGGCGCTTAGGGGATGCTCGTCATACCTCTAAAGGGGTTAAAAATGGGTGTTTTTATAACAGGTCTAGATATCCACAGGTGTAGTCCCTTCACTGAACGTATTTCATTAAGTGAACTGGAAACACATCATTATTCATGGCAGTGCTTGTGAAAACACTTGAGTAAGAGAATGTTCAATTTTACCAGCCGTTNGAATGAGTTTGAAAATCGGCTTTTCTGTATTCTGTCCACTAACGTTTGTGTTTTTTTTGTTATGAGTTCATCAGTTCAAGTTCTTTTCGCGCGCGAGCGGCCACGAAGCGGGAGCCAAAAAAATATTTTTGTCTTTCCCCAGCCTTTGCTCGTTCATATCCCACGCGCCGGGTTAATATTTTGCTAAGCTTGTGATCTCGACGGACTCAGGACAAAATAGAGGGTCTTTGGACAGACTAGCTTTTCCGCAGTGTTCGTTGGTCAGTGGTGTTGCTAAGCAACATGACTTTCTGCAAAGATTCTGCGGCTCTTAGGGGATGCGCGTCATACCTCTAAAGGGGTTAAAAATGGGTGTCTCGATAACAGGTCTAGATATCCACAGGTGTAGTCCCTTTACTGAACGTATTTCATTAAGTGAACTGGAGACACATCATTATTCATGGCAGTGCTTGTGAAAACACTTGAGTAAGAGAATGTTCAATTTTACCAGCCTTTTTTCGTTGTGAAAAAATTCAGTATTGACTGATTTAGGGGTTCAATGAATTTGATTCACACCCACCAAACGTTTGCCAGCCCCCGTCCCTACTCCTGGGGTGGAGGGAGACAGGATGGTTTGAAGGGGAGGATTGACTATTAAACGTCTAGGTCCTCAGGTTGCGGCAGACAGTAAAATGTTCTGATTTGTCTTCATGATGAAGAATGCTTGTGTGACCAGAGGATTTATGAGATTATTTGCCAAAAGCTGACAATCTTGCCTACAGACCTTTAGATAAATGCCTTTCATTTGTCGACTAGCAATAAATAGATCATAGTGCAAATCTGGTATATGGTCTTAAAACATTCAAAATATATATCAACCCTGACTGTCGGCAGCATGGCAATTTTTTAATTTTAGTAGTGGGAATATCTGTAAAACTAGCCGTATGGCGAAGCATGTTGCTGCTTAAAAGGTATCCTATCCTATCCTATCCTATCCTATATTATGGCTGGCATGGGTTCACACTCAACTGAGTTAGATCTCAGGTTGGTGATCTCCATTTGTGATAATGGCTTTGTCATTTTGACTCTGTTGTCAAAACAAAGGGCTTTGCAAGAAATGTCACCAGCTACATAGGCTCACTAATTAGCTCACATCAATGCAAGTGACTCAATGAGGTCCTTTCTTCTATTCCAATATGTAAGGACAAGTTTCGATGTATCAACACTAGACTTTCATTTATTGGCTATTACACTGGAATTGAGAGGAGCCTGGAACTAATATCATACCCAGGTCTCCCATGGTTAGACAGGGTTCGTTGGTTTATGCATGGAGACAAATAGCAGCCTTTTACTTAGAACGAATGATGGCTAGGGCCTAGAGTACCTGTGAAGCCACCCCTGAGATTATTTAAAGAGATAATATAAGATAACATGGTGAGACAGAATGCTGAGAGGAATGCCAAATATCATGGTTATTTCACTGTTGACTAATTACAATTCAAGAACAATAAAGACACTTTATTTTTTTTATTAAGAGAAAGCTGATATGGCTCCCTAACTGTTCCATTACCATTGCCTAGTGCTTCTTTTAGCATTTCACCCCAGTTATTTACTGTTAGTAGTTTCCCTTCAAATAACCCTGTAAATCCTCCATCTGATCATAGTTAATAGTAGTCTCCTCTACAAACTATGATCTGATACTCTTGATGCTGGGACCCCTTTCTCGAAAGTCTTGGTAACTTTACAGACCTGAAGCCATATTTTAAAATCTAAATTTAGGGAATAACAGAGCATGTTTTAGCTTAAAAACTAGTACATTCTTTAAAAAAAAAATCTTTTAAGGACTGGTAACTCCCCAGGACTTCTGAGAAAGGGGCCCCACATCATCATCCTCTCTGAACTAAGCGCATTTGATATTGCCAGTCACTAGGTACCCAACTGTCTTGTAAACAAGTCAATCACTAGGCTGCAAATACTGTAAGCCAATAAACAGAAATACTATGAACATCAGGGCTTTTATTTCACAAACAGGAACATATCACAACATAGAAAAAAAAGTTAAAGTTCAATGGATCTATATCACTTTGTTCTATTCTGTCAGACCTAATAGGCCATTTCTGAGTTCCCTACAGCCTCTGTTTAGTACAAAAGTTTAGAAAACAGCACTAAGAATATGCGCGCACTGATTGGTCAAAAATCGTGTTTCTAGAACTTGATAGAAACACAGATCTAGCACGAGCTGTTGATGTAACGATGCCTCGAGCAAAGAAAACTTACATTTTGANAAGGACAAGTTACGATGTATCAACACTAGACTTTCATTTATTGGCTATTACACTGGAATTGAGAGGAGCCTGGAACTAATATCATACCCAGGTCTCCCATGGTTAGACAGGGTTCGTTGGCTTATGCATGGAGACAAATAGCAGCCTTCTACTTAGAACGAATGATGGCTTGGGCCTACAGTACCTGTGAAACCACCCCTGAGATTATTTAAAGAGATAATATAAGATAACATGGTGGGACGGAATGCTGAGAGGAATGCCAAATATCATGGTTATTTCACTGTTGACTAATTACAATTCAAGAGAAAGCTGATATGGCTCCCTAACTGCTCCATTACCATTGCCTAGTGCTTCTTTTAGCATTTCACCTCAGTTATTTACTGTTAGTAGTTTCCCTTCAAATAACCCTGTAAATCCTCCATCTGATCATAGTTAATAGTAGTCTCCTCTTCTAACTATGATCTGATACTCTTGATGCTGGGACCTTTCTTGAAAGTCTTAGTAACTTTACAGACCCAAAGCCATATTTTAAAATCTAAATTTAGGGAATAATAGAGCATGTTTTAGCTCAAAAACTAGTCCATTCTTAAAAAGAAAAGCTTTTAAGGACTGGTAACTCCCAGGACTTCTGAAAAAGGGCCCCACATCATCATCCTTTCTGAACTAAGGGCATTTGATATTGCCAGTCACTAGGTTCCCAACTGTCTTGTAAACAAGTCAATCACTAAGCTGCAAATACTGTAAGCCAATAAACAGAAATACTGTAAACATCAGGGCTTTTATTTCACAAACAGGAACATATCACAACATAGAAAAAAAAAGTTAAAGTTCAATGGATCTAAATCACTTTGTTCTATTCTGTCGGACCTAATAGGCCATTTCTGAGTTCCCTACAGCCGCTGTTTAGTACAAAAGTTTAGAAAACAGCACTAAGAATATACGTGCACTGATTGGTTAAAAATCGTGTTTCTAGAACTCGATAGAAACACAGATCTAGCACGAGCTGTTGATGTAACGATGCCTCGAGCAAAGAAAACTTACATTTTGATAATCAAAGTTAACAAGTGTTTTCCTTTTTTTGGCACGGTATTTTCTAAAAGAAATAGAAAACATGTTCTCTGTGTTTCTATCTAGTTTTAGTAGAATTCCACCTGAACAGTAATGCAAATGCTGCAATCTGATTGGCTGAGCCATTGCACGCTATCATCCATTAGTGTGCAGTGGCTGGAGGTTGTCTTCAAAAGAGTGACATGTTTTTCGTTTTCCCAAAGTTTTGGAGGAATATTTTGATGCAAATGGCTAACTAAAATTCCTGAGATGACTAAAAGAAGGACATTTATGGTTTCCAGACTTTAAAAACTTGGAATTACTGAAAAAATGATGCACGTGCACACAACTGTGAGTTCAAATGACAATTCAATCCAAGCGATCTTTCTAAGGCACAAAGTTTAATAATATGTCAAGAAAAAACTGGAAACTGTTATTTGAAATAAAGTTCAGCTAGAATTCCACTAAAACAATTTGATTATTCGCTCTCGATTTCTATGACGTGATAATTGATTCGGCCTTCGGCCTCATGATCTATCACCTCATGGAAATCTTGAGCTCATATCCTTATTGTTAAATAGAAACACTCATGAAAGTTTGGGAGAACTTAAAAAAGCTGTGGAAACACTTGCCTTCGGCTTGTGTTCCCACAGCATTTCTCATTCTCCCAAACTTCCACTCGTGTTTCTATAACTTGATAAAAACATGGTATGACAAAAGACCACTCAGAAAGGTCATAGCATTCCTCATAAAATATTAAAAAATTATGAAACAAGCACAATTAAAAAAAAACAACACTAAATTTTAAAAAACCCATTAAATTTAAATTTATAAATCATAATAACAGTATTTTCATTGATTTTAATAAATTAAAAATAGGGAAAGAAAAATGAATAGGTAAACAAAGTTGAAAAAAACAGGAAAAAACCCTGCCAGTAGGAGAATCTCTCTTTACAGGGAAAGTGGATTAACAAAGTATTATTTTAAGGCTTTCTTCAATTTATCTTATTTGTTTCGAACGTCACAAAAATTATTTGTCGTGACAAGTAAAAAGTTTGTAAAATTTGTATTTGATCGGAACCAAACAGTTTCCTCTATTTGTCATACTTACCAGTAAATGTGGGCCTACCCGGACGAAAATTCTTACCGAGGCAATATCAGAAAAAAGAACACTTCGTTTATATTTATTTATATTT